GAGGAACGATGAGGTTGTAGCCTATGCCAAAGCTGATAGGAGTGGAACACCCATCGTCACCTCCTGTACAGTGTCGTACAGAGGGGTGTGGTCAACATCGTCCAGGGCCGACCTCCATGGGCTGGGTGTCACCAAAGCGGACACGAAACGGATGAGTGTGCGAGCGCTGCAAGGGTCGCTGGCCATATTTGGTGTGTTCCGGCGTTCTACGTCCCGGACAAAGAGGGCCTGAGGTCCCACCCTCATGTCATGAAGGTCAAAGCCGAGGAAGAAGGATTTGGAGGTTTTGGAGTAACCTAAAGAGGAGTTTGTTGGGATAACGGAGCGTGGAGAACGATGGAATTGATTAAATAACCTAGTGTGAGATGCGGAGAGGACGGTCTTTCTGAAGACCGCCGCATGCGGCAGCAAAAGGAGGAAGGCATGACGCCTGGCCGCTCGCTCATGCCCAATACCAGTGGTCAGAGCTTAGAAGGGCATACCCCTATGTGGTTATAAATACCACTTTAGGGGACTCGCACCGGTGAGTGCGTGTAAAGAGCGTGTGGCGGAAACGCCCACAATGTCGGTCTAGGGAAAGCATGTTGGGATAGCATGCCGGGACCGGGGTGGAGGTGGGTTGAAAAAAAAAAAAAATAGCCAAATGCCTCGTCATCTAATTAGTGACGCGCATGAATGGATTAACGAGATTCCCACTGTCCCTATCTACTGTGGGTGGAAGAAGACGACGAGGACCTACGAGACCTTCCAGCGGCGAGCTCTGTATCGTTCCCTTCATTTTTTCCACTTTTAGCGCATCTTGAAATTAATGCTTAGTGTCATTAAAAAGCCCTAAGCATAGCGATCACGCCGATGCCAGATTTGTAACATTTCGTCCATTTAATCCGATAAAAATTCAGTCTGAACAGTTTGTTTACATGCTGGACATATTAAGCTCGGTCGCTATGCTTCCAATCCCTATTTCTAATTAAATTTTCGTAATTGTAAGTCAATTTTAGTGTTGTTGGAATCCTTGTTAGTTGCGCTAACAGGATATAGCATTCGTTAGTACCGATCGTGTGTAGTTTTTGATTAAATTAACGATTTTTCTCAGATAGAACACTTCGAATTGAGACACCAGTAAAGATGTCATTCTTAGCTGTTCAAAGTGCGGGCGCGCGCTGGTGAGCTTGTGATACAGGCGAAAGTAAGCTTTAGCTTTATACGTTCATTTTAGACACCAGTATATAATATGAAGTCTTTGCTGAGCTAATTAGAACGTTTCGAGCGTGTTTTGATCGGCGCGAAATTCCTTCAGTTTGAATTTAGAAAATAAGTCCGCTGGTAGACTTTTGTACTTTCGCGGCTTGCGTCTCCTAGGGGGGGCAGCCGTGAAATGGCATCTCCTGTGAGAGCCGATGAAGAAGAGCCAGGTGGGCCGGCGCGGGACGCTCCTGCGGGGGTAAAGTCGTTTAGTGATGAAGTCTGTGACATTCAAGTGAAGCTAATTTCAATAATCAATGATGAAAAATCTAGAATTAACAAAGAGACCGGAGCTCAAATTTTGCAATACATTGCTAAGCTAACTAGTATTTCAACTAAACAAGAGATCGAGAATGCAGCCCTGCGGGCTCGGCTGGCGGAAAGGGAGAGGGTGCCCACCTTTGCTGAGGTGGCGCGGGGTAAGCCGGTTGCGGCGGCGGCGCCTCCTCCCGCTCCTGCGGCCTATGTGGTTGGCGGGGCGGGGGGTGGCGCAGTGCCTGCGGTGCCGCCTGCTCGTCAAGGGCACGCACTCCTCATTTATCTTGCTAACCCGACTCCCACACCATCCAATGACATTAAGATCATGCTTAAAAAGTACTTTGAGCCGCAGAGGATTGGCCTGGGGGAAGTTGTAATGAAAGAGATCCGGAACGGAGTTGCGATCCAGTCGCAGTCGCTTGCGAGCCTGCAGCGTCTGGCTGACGCGATTGAGGAACATCCTCACACCAAGGATGCTTTCGTGCTGCGTCAGCCAGCCAAGCGCAGGCCGCAATTTCGGGTATCGGGAGTTGATCCCGATATCTTGCCGGCTGAATTTCTCGCAACTCTGAGGGCGCAGAACCCAGAAGTTCAATTGGAACCTAATGAATTCTATCTTCGAACATCCTTCAAAGAAAAGTCAGGAAACTCTACATTTATATTTGACGTGACACCTGAGGGCTACAAAAAACTCGAGGGCAAAAATAAAGTTAATCTTGGGTGGACATCATGTTTAATTCATGAAAATTTCTATGTCCCCAAATGCCAGAAGTGTGCTCAATACGGACACACGAAGAAGTACTGTGAGTCGGAGAGTGAGATGTGTCCGCTGTGTGCTGGAACACACACAGCCGGACAGTGCCAGATCACTGAGGGAGGTGCGATGAGATGTCGGGCATGTGCAGCGCGCCGTGTTGACGCGCGCCACGCATTCGGCAACGTCAGTTGTGGTACACTGGCGTTGCTGGTGGCGCGTCTTAAAGGCCGTACCAACTATCCATTATAGATCACACCTCCCCATGCTGATGCGTCTTTTTGTAAATAGTTGTAAATATGGTATTGTATATAGTTGTAAATATGGATGTTTCAGTTTTGGTAAGATATTACTACATGGGCGGTGGCAGGTCCGCATTGGGGATGGTGTCAGGGTACCTTAATGTTAACAAGGCTTGAATTTTTACAAATTAATTTAGGTAGATCGAAGGCTGCATCCAATCAACTTGAACAAATGTGTAATGAAGTAAACCCAAATATTGTTTGTATCCAGGAGCCGTATTTGGTGAACCAGAAAGTAGTTGGTATTCCATTAAAATATGTAGTCGTTGCTTCTAATTTAGCAAAGTGTGCTGTAATAGTGAGAGATAACACATGTACAATATTTCCTATACTAGTAACCCCAAACATAGTTGCTATAAAGTGCTCAAATCAGGACAAGGTATTTCTAATTATTAATACTTATATTCCTCCTTTCTCCGACTTTGATGTAGTTTTAATGGAAATAGATGGTCTGCTAAGATTACATAGAAATAATCCTATTATAATGACTGGGGACTTTAATGCAAAAAATACATTGTGGGGAGGCAATATTACAGATGATAGGGGGAACAACTAAGTGAATTCTTTTTGTTACACAATATATTTGTTGTTAATGATAAACATACAGAGGCTACTTTTGAAACAGTGAATGGATCTAGTTGGATAGATCTTTCGCTGACATCGGGGGAACTTGTCTCTCAAATAACACACTGGGAAGTATCAGATAAAGATTCTCTAAGCGATCATAAATACATCTCTTTTGGTTTCTTTGGTACAGTTGCACCAAAGATTAGAAAACTAACAGCGAGGGGTCTATCAAAACTTTATGAGATTATAAGAAATGATGTTTGGCTACATAATACAATTTTTCCTTTCTCCTCTGCTAAAGAAATAGAGCAAACTTTAACTCTTTTTTATGTCCGTTTCGAACGCTGGTTAAAGATATGTGAAAAGAATGTTAAAGTTTTCGGTCATGCGACCCCTTGGTGGTCAGAAGATTTACACTATAAAACACAAAAAGTAAATGCTCTTAGAAGAAGATATCAACGGTGTTATAATTCAGAAATGAGAATTTTCTATAAATGTCAATATTTAGACTACAGGAAAGAATATAAAGATATGATAGAAATTGCAAAAATAACCTCTTGGCAAGGGTTCTGTTACCAAGCCACAAAAGCGTCTCTATTTGGCATTCCATATAAGCTTGCTTTTAAGAAATTCAGAATGCAAACTGTAATACCTCCAATATGTTTACAAAATAACTTGTATACTGATTCACATGTTGAATCTGTAAAATATATTTTAGACTCTTTATATCATCTAGATGATACAATAACCGACACCTCACTCTTAAGTAACTTGAGAAATAGTATAACAATTCCTAATTTAAATCCTCCTGATTGAGAATTTACCTTTCAAGAAATAGATACAGTAATATCAACTCTTCGAACTGGAACGGCTCCTGGTGCAGATAGACTTACGGTTCCAATGGTCAAACAACTATGGAATTACCACTATACATTTATGCACATAATGTTCAATTCTTGTCTTCAAGTAGGCTATTTTCCCAAAGTTTGGAAAATAGGAAAAGTAGTTTTGTTGAATAAACCTGGGCGTCCAACCAATGAAGCTTCTTCTTATCGTCCAATATGCCTGAACTCTATCTTTGGAAAAGTGTTGGAAAGGCTCCTGTATTCAAGGATATATTATTTTATATCAACAAATAATTTACTCCACCCACATCAGTTTGGATTTACTCATAATAAGTCTTCAACCCTAGCACTTTATAATTTAGTTTCACATCTTCAAACTTTGAAAAGTAATGGTAGAATATCTTTGTTAATTTCCTTAGATTTTTCTGGGGCGTTTGACTCTCTATGTTATCCGTTTGTTCTGCATTTTCTGCAAATGCATCAATGTCCATGTAATTTATATAATCTTCTTTACTCTTTCTTTAAGAACAGAATAGTCAGTTATATTACACAGGATAAGCATCAAATTAATAAAGATGTCTCAGTAGGTTGTCCACAGGGTTCTCCTTTAAGTCCTCTACTCTGGAATATATTAATCAGTGACTTATTAAATATTACTTTTCATCCATACGTGCACATACAGGCATTTGCGGACGATGTTATTCTCGTAATTGACGGTTTATCCCGTCGAGAAATTGAGACTCGCGCAGATACTACCCTTAAGCTATTACACAGATGGGCCCAGGATAGGAAACTTAATTTTAACTATGATAAATGCTTTTGTATCTTGATAGCTCAAGGAACAAAATATCTTAAACGTAATCCAATAATTAAATTTAATCAAAATAAACTAAAGATAAAACCTGAAATAAAAATTCTAGGTGTGGTTTTTGATTCCCATCTATCATTTCTTCCTCATGTTACGTATCTCAAAAAGAAAGTCTTAGAACATACAGTGAACCTTGCACGTTTTTCTGCATGTAATTGGGGCATTAACCCTACACAATTTCGAGAAATATATTTAAAATCAATAGAGAGATACATAGTATATGGTGCTCCGGTTTGGTGGAGGACGGAGGGTAACTCGCATTTGATGAGGAAAATTATTTCTGTACAACGTATACCATTATTAAATATATGTCGGGCATATCATACGGTTCCCAACGTGAGCCTACCAGTGTTATGTAACGTTATTCCAATTAATATATCATTGAATATGGAGGTCTTTATGTTTAAGCTGTTCCAAGCACGGACTCCAGCTCAATTCAATGGTTGGACGGTAACCCCAGATGAAGTAGTATACCCAGTAGACATATGGAACTTTCATCCTAGTAATAAAACTTTAATATCATTTAATAGGTATGATCCACAAACATATGAATCATCTAAAAATGTACTTCATTTATATACAGATGGGTCTGTATGTTTAGGGTTGGTTGGAGCGGCCTTTGTCTTAATGAAGCATAATGGTAGTATAGTTAAAATAGGCAAATATTGTCTGCCCAAGCATGCCACCATCTTTGATGCGGAGGTTGTCGCGCTTATTAGGGGAGTGGAATATTTAATACTGACAAGAGAAGAACGAGATTGTGATATCTTTACCGATAGTCTATCTGCCCTTCAGGCACTAGCCAATGTATCAACTGTAGAACCGTTAATTTGTAACTTAAAACACAACATAGGAATATTAAACACTAAATGTAGGGTCACTTGTTATTTTGTAAAGGGACATTCTGGTATACTAGGAAATGAGCTAGCTGACCAATTTGCGTCGGACGCTCGTCGCCGCGGGTTATACACCCCAATGAAAAAATCAAAGAAATATATTAAAAAGCAGTTAATAGTGCATGCAAGGGATGCCTGGAATATAACATGGAGTGAACAGGGTTTTGAGAAAGAACTGTTTCAATGGATCCCAACAATTTCAAGGATGCCGGACCTCTTTCCTTCAACCTACTATCTCACTCAACTTTTGACATGTCATGGAAGGTTTCCATTTTACTTTCATAGATTTAAAATAAAAGACCATAGTCAATGTTTTTGCGGTACGGATTGTCAATCGATAGATCATTATTTTACTTCTTGTTTGTACACTAGAAGCTATATAAATAAACTTGGGATTTCACTTACCGATCCTTCAGAAAAACAAAAAATAATTCACCTTAAACAGAAAATAGACATCTTAAAAGAAATGGTTCAATTAATAAATGATAATATAGAGTGAGTTTAAATAACTTTCTTGTAATATATATTGACTGGCGACCTGAGTGCGTGGACGGGATTCCCAGGACACACCAACATGTCAACTTTCTTTTATTTAATAATAAAACAAAAATGTTTCAGTATACATAATTATAGAAAAAGTGAGACCCACACAGTTCTTCTGGAGTATGTTTGAAATGGAGATAAAAGATTTCAGCAACCTTTTAAAAAAAGAAAATACAAGAATTTTGAACATCATCATGACAGAGTCAGAACCTGCAAGCTCTGAACTTCAACGCTTAAAAGATCTCCTAACTGCTCTGAAAAAAACAACCTTTACAACAGCACAAGCTACAACTGAATAATGGGCTCACAGCATGCACCCTGGAAGACCTTAAAGTTTTGGGATAGGAAGGCACGGACCAGTTTCGCAGCCTTAGGCTTCCACTATATATTACTATGTACCACATTATAAGCATGCACCAGAATACCCAACAAAAATTTCAGGAGGGAGCAGACTGGATCTGTATCCCTGGGATTCTGATTAGCTTTTAGAAAGGACAGATGTGAAATGTCCAGTTTTCTTTTTGATAGGATGGCTCCATTGTGTGAGCATACACATGTTGCACCTCGTGGAGCAGGGAAATCTAGAAGCTCACTCGGTTCGCAGGGTGGTTTGAATTCTCACACAATGCTTGGACATATTTAAAAATAATTTCTTTCTCTTATTTTAAATGTAAGAAAAATCCTAATAACTTAAACGGCCTAGTACGACACTTTAAAACTTGTAAATAGAACAACTATAGCTCAATGATTTTTGCTATAAGCATTACCAGATTAGGGTAGGCAGGTAAATAAAAAGATTAGCTAAAATGAGAAAACTAAACGGGAGGTGTTGTGGGGGTGGGTTGGGGGGGGGGGTTCTGCATTATTAGTAAAAATAAAGAGGTAAAGAGGAAATACCAGGCATTTCTTGGGCTAATATGCTTCTTTAGGTTTCACTATTAACATCCTTAGTGATGGGGTTGTTCTCCGTGGCGGCTGGCGGGTTCGTCCTGCTTTCAGTGATTAAATATATGAGGCTTCAGTTGTGGAAGTATTGAGGACAACTAGGCATTTCATTCATATTGTATGCCCTCAGTATTAAAATGGAAAATTTACATTGAACTTTAGCTAGAATATGCTTTCATTCTGCTATATATGATAACAGAGGCAAAGCCAAGTACTGATTGCCATTTTATAATAAATAGTGTTTAAACTTTAACTTAATGTTATATAGGAAAAATAGTAT